TGTGAGAGGGAAGTCTGCCCCCGCGACCCGGCAACGGATGAAGCGGAAGAAAATGGATGGATGGAAGTTTTAAAGAACAATCTGCATCGACTTAAAGCTGAGGTGCTTAAATTTCAAACCACAGTAAATGGAACCATTAAAGGCAAGGCAAGGCAAGGCAAGTTTATTTGTATAGCACAATTCATAAATACATGTCCCTGCTCTGGTTCAGAACCAGCTTCTCATCTTTGTTTGTGTCACATCTTCAGACGCTGTCTCGGCCAATCAGCTTTCAGTCTGTGAGGTTTTCTAATCTGATGAGACTGAGTCGCATTTCTTCAAAACATGTGACTGTTTTCATGTGCTACACATACCAGAAAGAGACCAGAAAGAGACCAGAAAGAGACCAGAAAGAGAGACCAGAGAGAGAGAGACCAGAGAGAGAGAGACCAGAGAGAGAGACCAGAGAGAGACCAGAGAGAGAGACCAGAGAGAGAGACCAGAGAGAGAGAGACCAGAGAGAGAGACCAGAGAGAGAGACCAGAGAGAGAGACCAGAGAGAGAGACCAGAGAGAGAGAGACCAGAGAGAGAGACCAGAAAGAGAGAGACCAGAGAGAGAGACCAGAGAGAGAGACCAGAGAGAGAGAGACCAGAGAGAGACCAGAAAGAGACCACAGAAAGAGACCACAGAGAGAGACCAGAGAGAGAGACCAGAGAGAGAGACCAGAGAGAGAGACCAGAGAGAGAGACCAGAGAGAGACCAGAAAGAGACCAGAGAGAGAGACCAGAGAGAGACCAGAGAGAGAGACCAGAGAGAGAGACCAGAGAGAGAGACCAGAGAGAGACCAGAGAGAGACCAGAGAGAGACCAGAGAGAGACCAGAGAGAGACCAGAGAGAGAGACCAGAGAGAGAGACCAGAGAGAGAGACCAGAAAGAGAGAGACCAGAGAGAGAGACCAGAGAGAGAGACCAGAGAGAGAGACCAGAGAGAGACCAGAAAGAGACCACAGAGAGAGACCAGAGAGAGAGACCAGAGAGAGACCAGAAAGAGACCAGAGAGAGAGACCAGAGAGAGACCAGAGAGAGACCAGAGAGAGAGACCAGAGAGAGACCAGAGAGAGACCAGAGAGAGACCAGAGAGAGACCAGAGAGAGACCAGAGAGAGACCAGAGAGAGAGACCAGAAAGAGACCAGAAAGAGACCAGAGAGAGACCAGAAAGAGACCAGAAAGAGACCAGAAAGAGACCAGAGAGAGAGACCAGAGAGACCAGAGAGAGACCAGAGAGAGAGAGACCAGAGAGAGACCAGAGAGAGAGACCAGAGAGAGAGAGACCAGAGAGAGGGACCAGAGAGAGACCAGAGAGAGAGAGACCAGAGAGAGACCAGAAAGAGACCAGAAAGAGACCAGAAAGAGACCAGAGAGAGAGACCAGAGAGAGAGACCAGAGAGACCAGAGAGAGACCAGAGAGAGAGAGACCAGAGAGAGACCAGAGAGAGAGACCAGAGAGAGACCAGAGAGAGAGAGACCAGAGAGAGCATCTGTGTATATAAATATGGGTATGTGTGTGTGTGTCTCTGTGTGTGTGTGTGTTTGTCTCTTTGTCTCTGTGTGTGTGTGTGTGTGTGTGTGTGAGAGAGGCATGTCCCGGCAGGTCACACACACAGTTATCATTATGTCGGTGCCGCACTGATCCAGGATCAGATGAGTCCGGAATGCAGCAGTTCCAACCGCAGGCGGCTGTGAGGGCCCTTCTTCAGATTACGGAACATCAGAGATAGCATCAGCGTGTTAGCATGTTAGCATCCAAGTGGAATTAAGCAATAGGAGACCAGAGAGACCAGAGAGAGACCAGAGAGAGAGACCAGAGAGAGAGACCAGAGAGAGAGACCAGAGAGAGAGACCAGAGAGAGAGACCAGAGAGAGAGACCAGAGAGAGAGACCAGAGAGAGACCAGAGAGAGAGACCAGAGAGAGACCAGAGAGAGACCAGAGAGAGAGACCAGAGAGAGACCAGAGAGAGAGACCAGAGAGAGAGACCAGAGAGAGACCAGAGAGAGACCAGAGAGGAAGAAGCATTATTACATCAGTGTTTGACAGTGGATTGTTTTATGGTCAGTGTGTGTCCAGGAGAGGGCTGTGTGTTCCCTCGCCTCCCTCTGGTCCGGGCCGAGTCCAGGTCTGGGTCCGGGTCCAGGTCTGGGTCTGGGTCCAGGTCTGGGTCTGGGTGAATGTGGAGTGGGGCGCCTCATTAGGTGGGTGACCGCTGTTTAGTGGAGCACACACAAAGAGGGCCCCTCAGAGACAGTAAACAAACCTCCAGCTCATCCATGCATGAGAGAGACCGGACCAGGGACCCAGGGGTCTACAGCCTCAGTCCTGGGTCTGCAGCCTCAGTGCTGGGTCTACGGCCTCAGTCCTGGGTCTACAGCCTCAGTCCTGGGTCTACAGCCTCAGTCCTGGGTCTACGGCCTCAGTCCTGGGTCTACAGCCTCGGTCCTGGGTCTACAGCCTCAGTCCTGGGTCTACAGCCTCAGTCCTGGGTCTACAGCCTCAGTCCTGGGTCTACAGCCTCAGTCCTGGGTCTACAGCCTCAGTCCTGGGTCTACAGCCTCAGTCCTGGGTCTACAGCCTCAGTCCTGGGTCTACAGCTGATTTTCTAAGTCTCCGGATGTTTTATTTCTACCTGTACCAGACACACAGAGACACGCACACACACACACACAGACACACACACAGACACACACACACAGACACACAGACACACACACACACAGACAGAGACACACACAGACAGAGACACACACACAGACACACACACACACACACAGACACACACACACAGACACACACAGACAGACAGAGACACACACACACAGACACACACACACACAGAGACACACACACACACACACACAGAGACACACACAGACAGAGACACACACACACAGACACACACACACACACACACAGACACACACACAGACAGACACACACACAGTTTGTCTCATGATCTCGTCTTTCTGCTAATCCCTGGTCCACACTCAGAGGTTGATGGTTCACCAGGAACAATGTTGGCGATTGTTGTGTGAGAAGATTGGTCAGACAGGGCTCTTCCCCCTCCCTCCCCCTGCCTCCCCCTCCCTCCCCCTCCCTCCCCCTGCCTCCCCCTCCCTCCCCCTCCCTCACCCCCTCCCTCACCCTCTCACCCCCTACCTCAATTATCGCCGTTTAGAGTTTTCCAGTTGACCGAGCGCACTGCTGCCAGAGACCAGAGAGAGACCAGAGAGAGACCAGAGAGAGACCAGAGAGAGACCAGAGAGAGACCAGAGAGAGACCAGAGAGAGAGACCAGAGAGAGACCAGAGTGAGACCAGAGAGAGACCGGAGAGAGACCAGAGAGAGACCAGAGAGAGACCAGAGAGAGAGACCAGAGAGAGACCAGAGAGAGACCAGAGAGAGAGACCAGAGAGAGACCAGAGAGAGACCAGAGAGAGACCAGAGTGAGACCAGAGAGAGACCAGAGAGAGACCAGAGAGAGAGACCAGAGAGAGACCAGAGTGAGACCAGAGAGAGACCGGAGAGAGACCAGAGAGAGACCAGAGAGAGACCAGAGAGAGACCAGAGTGAGACCAGAGAGAGACCAGAGAGAGACCAGAGAGAGACCAGAGAGAGACCAGAGAGAGACCAGAGAGAGACCAGAGAGAGACCAGAGAGAGACCAGAGAGAGACCAGAGAGAGACCAGAGAGAGACCAGAGAGAGACCAGAGAGAGACCAGAGAGAGACCAGAGAGAGACCAGAGAGAGACCAGAGAGAGACCAGAGAGAGAGACCAGAGAGACCAGAGAGAGACCAGAGAGAGACCAGAGAGAGAGACCAGAGAGAGACCAGAGAGAGACCAGAGAGAGACCAGAGAGAGAGACCAGAGAGAGACCAGAGAGAGACCAGAGAGAGACCAGAGAGAGACCAGAGAGAGACCAGAGAGAGACCAGAGAGAGACCAGAGTGAGACCAGAGAGAGACCGGAGAGAGACCAGAGAGAGACCAGAGAGAGACCAGAGAGAGACCAGAGTGAGACCAGAGAGAGACCAGAGAGAGACCAGAGAGAGACCAGAGAGAGAGACCAGAGAGAGAGACCAGAGAGAGACCAGAGAGACACCGGAGAGAGACCAGAGAGAGACCAGAGAGAGACCAGAGAGAGACCAGAGAGAGACCAGAGAGAGACCAGAGAGAGACCAGAGAGAGACCAGAGTGAGACCAGAGAGAGACCAGAGAGAGATGCTTTATTGTTTGTATCATTGTTGAGCAGAAGTGACTGGTTCTTTCAGAGTTCATTGGGACCACAACGACACCTCCATGTTTTTGTTGAATGTTTGCTGTAATCCCTCTGAACGTCACGAGCTCACACGTCCTACTTCCGATGGAGAGACGAGCCCAGTGAGGGAGGGGGGGGGGGACAGGGGCCAAGAGGGGCCGGTGGCACTGAGATAATGAGGCCAGCTTTGGAGGGGAGGGGGAGAGAGGGGAGGAGGGGGAGAGAGGGGAGGAGGGGGAGAGAGGGGAGGCCGAAGTTTTAGCCCCTGAAGTAAAAGTACAGATCTTTCTCTGGTAAAAAGTATTTAAAGTATTGGGCACTAAACACATCTGACAGCCTCAGTCCTGGGTCTACAGCCTCAGTCCTGGGTCTACAGCCTCAGTCCTGGGTCTGAAGCCTCAGTCCTGGGTCTACAGCCTCAGTCCTGGGTCTACAGCCTCAGTCCTGGGTCTACAGCCTCAGTCCTGGGTCTACAGCCTCAGTCCTGGGTCTACAGCCTCAGTCCTGGGTCTACAGCCTCAGTCCTGGGTCTACAGCCTCAGTCCTGGGTCTGAAGCCTCAGTCCTGGGTCTACAGCCTCAGTCCTGGGTCTACAGCCTCAGTCCTGGGTCTACAGCCTCAGTCCTGGGTCTACAGCCTCAGTCCTGGGTCTACAGCCTCAGTCCTGGGTCTACAGCCTCAGTCCTGGGTCCATGTGTACAGCATTTCAGTTAGTTGCCACCTCTGCACAAGCAGCCGTGAATTGAGTTAATGAGGCAGACTTTGGGGAGGGGGGTACAGGGGGGGTGAGGGGGGGGGTACAGGGGTGGGTGAGGAGGGGGGTCCAGGGGTGGGTGAGGAGGGGTGAGGGGGTGAGGAGGGGGGTACAGGGGTGGGTGAGGAGGGGTGAGGAGGGGGGTACAGGGGGGGTGAGGAGGGGGGTACAGGGGTGGGTGAGGAGGGGTGAGGGGGTGAGGAGGGGGGTACAGGGGTGGGTGAGGAGGGGTGAGGAGGGGGGTACAGGGGGGGTGAGGAGGGGGGTACAGGGGGGGTGAGGGGGGTGAGGGGGGTGAGGGTGTTGGCGATGGAGCTGATGCGCTCTGAAGGGTCCCAGGACGTGAGGGGAGACGGGTGTCAAACCCTCCCCCCTCCTCCCCCTCTCGGGTGAGCTGGAGGTGAGGATCTGAGCCGCTGCAGCACGACATTAAAGCTCAGGGACGTAACTTTCAGAAACAGAAATAACTGTCAAAGTGTACAGGGCTTATTTTACTGCGTTACAGAAAACACCTGGAACATTATGTGGTCCCAGGGCAGGTGTGGCTGCAGTGGGACCAGAGAGAGACCAGAGAGAGACCAGAGAGAGACCAGAGAGAGACCAGAGAGAGACCAGAGAGAGACCAGAGAGACCAGAGAGAGACCAGAGAGAGACCAGAGAGAGACCAGAGAGAGAGAGACCAGAGAGAGAGACCAGAGAGAGACCAGAGAGAGAGAGACCAGAGAGAGAGACCAGAGAGAGAGACCAGAGAGAGCCCAGAAAGAGACTGTAGTGGTCCCAGGGCAGGTATGGCTGCAGTGGGACCAGAGAGAGACCAGAGAGAGACCAGAGAGAGACCAGAGAGAGACCAGAGAGAGACCAGAGAGAGACCAGAGAGACCAGAGAGAGACCAGAGAGAGACCAGAGAGACCAGAGAGAGACCAGAGAGAGACCAGAGAGAGACCAGAGAGAGAGAGACCAGAGAGAGAGACCAGAGAGAGACCAGAGAGAGACCAGAGAGAGACCAGAGAGAGAGAGACCAGAGAGAGAGACCAGAGAGAGACCAGAAAGAGACTGTAGTGGTCCCAGGGCAGGTGTGGCTGCAGTAGAAGTTCTTAACAGTTCCTGTTTGTCCAGAGTCTGACGCTCGGAGACACTGACCTTTCACTCATTCCACCGTCTGATAGTGTGTGTGTTTGTGTGTCTGTGTGTCTACAGAGGCGTGTGTGTGTGTGTAGATGAGTGTGTGTGTGAGTATAGATGAGTGTGTGTGTGTGTGTCTACAGAGGCGTGTGTGTGTGTGTGTATATGTGTGTGTGTGTGAGTGTAGATGAGTGTGTGTGTGTGTGTGTCTACAGAGGCGTGTGTGTGTGTGTGTATATGTGTGTGTGTGTGAGTGTAGATGAGTGTGTGTGTGTGTGTCTACAGAGGCGTGTGTGTGTGTGTGTATATGTGTGAGTGTAGATGGGTGTGTGTGTGTGTGTGAGTGTAGATGAGTGTGTGTGTGTGTGTCTACAGAGGCGTGTGTGTGTGTAGATGAGTGTGTGTGTGAGTGTAGATGAGTGTGTGTGTGTGTGTATATGTGTGTGTGTGTGAGTGTAGATGAGTGTGTGTGTGTGAGTGTAGATGAGTGTGTGTGTGTGTCTACAGAGGCGTGTGTGTGTGTCTCTTATCGTCTGCTGCGTCACCAAAACACACAGGACTCAAGGATCTTTGTTTTTAAACTAAAGTAACAGAAACGTCCCAAAAATACTTTTTTAATGTAACGTCATTCGTTCATCAGATCGTCTGATCTGCTTCTGTGCCACAGACTGAAGTATTCTGTCTGCATCTGATATGAGGGGCGGGGCTTACATAGAGGGGCGGGGCTTGACCCTGGCTGCTACATAAACGTTCTCCAAACATCAGGAGTGTTTGAAATGTCTTTTGTTTCAGTAACGACACTAAAGCACTTTTTTGTGGAAGTCATAAACTCTGTCCATGAGCACCTCTCTGTTGGGCTTCATGTGTGACCCCTGTACTGTACACGGGGCCCCCACAATGTGCCTCAGTCCTCACCCCCCCATCCCAGTGGAGCCTTCAGGAAGTGGCTGGTGCTGGGAACATGGACCACACACACACACATACAGTACATACACACACATACACACACACACACACATACAGTACATACACACACATACACACACACATACACATACAGTACATACACACACATACACACACACATACACATACAGTACATACACACACATACACACACACATACACATACAGTACATACACACACGCACACACACATACACAGACACACACATACAGTACATACACACACATACACACACACATACAGTACATACACACACACACACACACACATACAGTACATACACACACATACACACACACATACACATACAGTACATACACACACACACACACACACACATACACAGACACACACATACAGTACATACACACACACACACACATACAGTACATACACACACATACAGAGAGAGACACACACACACATACACACAGTACATACACACACACACACACATACAGTACATACACAGACACACACACACACACACAGTACATACACACACACACACACACATACAGTACAGACTCACACACACACACATACAGTACATACACAGACACACACACACACATACAGTACATACACACACACATACATACATACACACACACACACACACATACAGTACAGACACACACACACACACATACAGTACATACACAAAGAGAGACACACACATACTACACATACATACACAAAGAGAGACACACACATACGCACACACACCTCTCCCAGTTCCCGCTTCTGTCCACACTTACCTCCATAACTTTGTCACGTCATAAACCGAGAGGAAAGAGAGGGCGCCAGATCCTGTGGAGACCCGTCAACATGACTGCTTTAGGAGAACAGTGTTCCCCAAGCTCAGCTCTCGGCCAATCAGCTCTCAGCCAATCAGCTCTCGGCCAATCAGCTCTCAGCCAATCAGCTCTCGGCCAATCAGCTCTCAGCCAATCAGCTCTCGGCCAATCAGCTCTCAGCCAATCAGCTCTCGGCCAATCAGCTCTCAGCCCACAGAGTCTGACACATTAGATTATTATTTTTGTCTGGTTTGTTCATAAACGTTACTTAATAATCTTCTTTCTGTCTGAACAAACGGTTCTCTCTGTGATGTGAAAAGTCAGGACCCTCAGCTTTAAACCAGAGTCTTTTGTGTGTCGTGGATCTTTGTCTTTGGTAATATCAGGTCAACCTCAGGCCCAGGGGCCAAAACCAGCCGTGGGACCATCGTCAGAGGCCCCTGAACTGTCCTCTGTGACGGTTGATGGTCCTCTATGACAGTCGATGGTCCTCTGTGACAGTTGATGGTCCTCTGTGATGGTTGATGGTCCTCTGTGATGGTTGATGGTCCTCTGTGACGGTCGATGGTCCTTGTGACGGTTGATGGTCCTTTGTGACAGTTGATGGTCCTCTGTGACGGTCGATGGTTCTCTCTGACGGTTGATGGTCCTCTGTGACAGTTGATGGTTCTCTGTGATGGTTGATGGTCCTCTGTGACGGTCGATGGTCCTTGTGACGGTTGATGGTCCTCTATGACAGTCGATGGTTCTCTCTGACGGTTGATGGTCCTCTGTGACAGTTGATGGTTCTCTGTGATGGTTGATGGTCCTCTGTGACGGTCGATGGTCCTTGTGACGGTTGATGGTCCTTTGTGACAGTTGATGGTCCTCTGTGACAGTCGATGGTCCTTGTGACGGTTGATGGTCCTTGTGACGGTTGATGGTCCTTGTGACGGTTGATGGTCCTCTGTGATAGTTGATGGTCCTCTGTGATGGTTGATGGTCCTCTCTGACGGTTGATGGTCCTCTGTGATGGTTGATGGTCCTCTGTGATGGTTGATGGTCCTCTGTGACGGTTGATGGTCCTTGTGACGGTTGATGGTCCTCTCTGACCGTTGATGGTCCTCTGTGACGGTTGATGGTCCTTGTGACAGTTGATGGTCCTTGTGACAGTTGATGGTCCTCTGTGACGGTTGATGGTCCTCTGTGATGGTTGATGGTCCTTGTGATGGTTGATGGTCCTCTGTGACGGTTGATGGTCCTCTGTGATGGTTGATGGTCCTTGTGACAGTTGATGGTCCTTGTGACGGTTGATGGTCCTATGTGACGGTTGATGGTCCTCTGTGACGGTTGATGGTCCTCTGTGACGGTTGATGGTCCTTGTGACGGTCGATGGTCCTCTCTGACGGTTGATGGTCCTCGTGACGGTTGATGGTCCTCTGTGACGGTTGATGGTCCTCTGTGACAGTTGATGGTCTTCTCTGACCGTTGATGGTCCTCTGTGATGGTAATGGTCCTCTGTGACGGTTGATGGTCCTCTGTGACGGTTGATGGTCCTCTGTTACGGTTGATGGTCCTCGTGACGGTTGATGGTCCTTGTGACGGTTGATGGTCCTTGTGACGGTTGATGGTCCTCTGTGATAGTTGATGGTCCTCTGTGATGGTTGATGGTCCTCTCTGACGGTTGATGGTCCTCTGTGATGGTTGATGGTCCTCTGTGATGGTTGATGGACCTCTGTGACGGTTGATGGTCCTTGTGACAGTTGATGGTCCTTGTGACAGTTGATGGTCCTCTGTGACGGTTGATGGTCCTCTGTGATGGTTGATGGTCCTTGTGATGGTTGATGGTCCTCTGTGACGGTTGATGGTCCTCTGTGATGGTTGATGGTCCTTGTGACAGTTGATGGTCCTTGTGACGGTTGATGGTCCTATGTGACGGTTGATGGTCCTCTGTGACGGTTGATGGTCCTCTGTGATGGTTGATGGTCCTTGTGACAGTTGATGGTCCTTGTGACGGTTGATGGTCCTCTGTGACGGTTGATGGTCCTTGTGACGGTTGATGGTCCTCTCTGACCGTTGATGGTCCTCTGTGACGGTTGATGGTCCTCGTGACGGTTGATGGTCCTCTGTGACAGTTGATGGTCCTTGTGACGGTTGATGGTCCTCTCTGACCGTTGATGGTCCTCTGTGACGGTTGATGGTCCTCTCTGACCGTTGATGGTCCTCTGTGACGGTTGATGGTCCTCTGTGATGGTTGATGGTCCTTGTGACGGTTGATGGTCCTCTGTGACGGTTGATGGTCCTCTGTGACGGTTGATGGTCCTTGTGACGGTTGATGGTCCTCTCTGACCGTTGATGGTCCTCTGTGACGGTTGATGGTCCTCTGTGATGGTTGATGCTCCTTGTGACGGTTGATGGTCCTCTGTGACGGTTGATGGTCCTTGTGATGGTTGATGGTCCTCTGTGACGGTTGATGGTCCTTGTGACGGTTTATGGTCCTCTGTGACGGTTGATGGTCCTCTGTGATGGTTGATGGTCCTCTGTGACGGTTGATGGTCCTTGTGACGGTTGATGGTCCTCTCTGACGGTTGATGGTCCTTGTGACGGTTGATGGTCCTCTGTGACGGTTGATGGTCCTTGTGACGGTTGATGGTCCTCTCTGACGGTTGATGGTCCTCGTGACGGTTGATGGTCCTCTGTGACGGTTGATGGTCCTCTGTGACAGTTGATGGTCTTCTCTGACCGTTGATGGTCCTCTGTGATGGTAATGGTCCTCTGTGACGGTTGATGGTCCTCTGTGACGGTTGATGGTCCTCTGTTACGGTTGATGGTCCTCGTGACGGTTGATGGTCCTTGTGACGGTTGATGGTCCTTGTGACGGTTGATGGTCCTCTGTGATAGTTGATGGTCCTCTGTTATGGTTGATGGTCCTCTCTGACGGTTGATGGTCCTCTGTGATGGTTGATGGTCCTCTGTGATGGTTGATGGACCTCTGTGACGGTTGATGGTCCTTGTGACAGTTGATGGTCCTTGTGACAGTTGATGGTCCTCTGTGACGGTTGATGGTCCTCTGTGATGGTTGATGGTCCTTGTGATGGTTGATGGTCCTCTGTGACGGTTGATGGTCCTCTGTGATGGTTGATGGTCCTTGTGACAGTTGATGGTCCTTGTGACGGTTGATGGTCCTATGTGACGGTTGATGGTCCTCTGTGACGGTTGATGGTCCTCTGTGATGGTTGATGGTCCTTGTGACAGTTGATGGTCCTTGTGACGGTTGATGGTCCTCTGTGACGGTTGATGGTCCTTGTGACGGTTGATGGTCCTCTCTGACCGTTGATGGTCCTCTGTGACGGTTGATGGTCCTCGTGACGGTTGATGGTCCTCTGTGACAGTTGATGGTCCTTGTGACGGTTGATGGTCCTCTCTGACCGTTGATGGTCCTCTGTGACGGTTGATGGTCCTCTCTGACCGTTGATGGTCCTCTGTGACGGTTGATGGTCCTCTGTGATGGTTGATGGTCCTTGTGACGGTTGATGGTCCTCTGTGACGGTTGATGGTCCTCTGTGACGGTTGATGGTCCTTGTGACGGTTGATGGTCCTCTCTGACCGTTGATGGTCCTCTGTGACGGTTGATGGTCCTCTGTGATGGTTGATGCTCCTTGTGACGGTTGATGGTCCTCTGTGACGGTTGATGGTCCTTGTGATGGTTGATGGTCCTCTGTGACGGTTGATGGTCCTTGTGACGGTTTATGGTCCTCTGTGACGGTTGATGGTCCTCTGTGATGGTTGATGGTCCTCTGTGACGGTTGATGGTCCTTGTGACGGTTGATGGTCCTCTCTGACGGTTGATGGTCCTTGTGACGGTTGATGGTCCTCTGTGACGGTTGATGGTCCTCTGTGACGGTTGATGGTCCTCTGTGACGGTTGATGGTCCTTGTGACGGTTGATGGTCCTCTGTGACGCTTGATAGTCCTCTGTGATGGTTGATGTGATGGAGACTGGCCTGTTATACTTATACTGTGTGATGTATGTGTGCTGAGAGCTGATTGGCTGAGAGCTGATTGGCTGAGAGCCTGGTCCTCTCTTTGTCATTTTTCTTTCTGAAACACAGGGACCAGGGACATGGCTGATCACAGGTACGACGCTAAAGTCAGGGACCGTAGCTTTAAAACACCAGGTCCAGGACAGTGAGAGCTCTGCTGCGTATGTCTCCTTTAACCGTGACAAACTCCTTCTCCCCCTTCATTTCCTCCACCTCCTCCACCTCCCCCTGCCTCTCCACCTCCTCCACCTCCCCCTGCCTCTCCACCTCCTCTGCTCCCTCTCTTTACACTCCCTCTCCTTTATCCCCCTTCACCTCCTCCTCCTCCTCCCCCTGCCTCTCCCCCTCCCCCTTCACCTCCTCCTCCACCTCCTCCTCTCTGCAGCTACATCCGTACAGGACCTCAAATTAAGTCGCCGCAAATGAAAATGTGTTTCCTATTTTTGGGACGTAAAAGATGAAAATGAGAAAGAGCCACCGCGGAGCACAAACCACTTCCAGGTGTCTCCCTCACTCGGCTCTGCTCCTCTTGCTCTTTTTCCTTCTACATTTACGTCCCGCTGCTTCCTGCCTGCACTAAACATACTATAAAGTTCCTTCACGGGGAGGGGGCGGGGCTACGGCCGCGGAGGACAGCCAATCAGAGGGATTCTCCAGCCCTGAGACGCGAGCTGATTGGACGAAAGCGATGCCCAGATGTTGCTTCTTTAATGATTTTTGCGACCATTACGTTAATAGTTGTTTATGGCAGTGAAATGCAGGAATGTGAGGGGGTGAGGGGGAGGAAGGGAGGGAGGGAGGGAGGGAGGGTGAGGGGTGAGGGGTGAGGGGGAGGGGGAGGGAGGGAGGGAGGGAGGGGGGGGAGTGTGGTGCAGACTGTGGCTTGACATTACAAGAGAGATGGAGACAGGGGCTGCGTCTGTGGACTGTAATTTAGAACAATCTGAGCAAATAAAACTGGGTCCAGGCTCCTGCTCCTGCGAAGGACTCAGACAGAAAACAGCCTGTAGTGGTGTTGTGTGTTGTTGTTGTGTAGTGTTGTTGTTGTGTGTTGTGTGGTGTTGTTGTTGTTGTGTGGTGTTGTTGTTGTGTGGTGTTGTTCTGTGTTGTTGTTGTGTGGTGTTGTTGTTGTTGTGTGTTGTGTGGTCTTGTTGTTGTGTGGTGTTGTTCTGTGTTGTTGTTGTGTGGTGTTGTTGTTGTGTGGTGTTGTTGTTGTTGTGTGGTGTTGTGTGTTGTTGTGTGGTGTTGTTGTTGTTGTGTGGTGTTGTTGTTGTTGTGTGGTGTTGTTGTTGTTGTGTGGTGTTGTTGTGTGTTGTTGTTGTGTGGTGTTGTTGTGTGTTGCTGTTGTGTGGTGTTGTTGTTTTGTGGTGTTGTTGTTGTTGTTGTTGTGTGGTTGTTGTGTGTTGTTGTAAAGTCCTTCTGTGGACATGATAATAAAGCTATTGTCCGTGAGTCAAAGATATTTCCCGGTGTTTGTGACTTCCTGTTTCCTCCAACAGCAATAATCTGATTCTAACAAAGTCTCTGGAAACTTCTCAAAAATAGAGACGAGGACGAGTGTAGACGTCACAGACTGTTTACAGACTGTTTACAGACTGTTTACAGACTGTTTACAGACTGTTTACAGACTGTTTACAGACTGTTCACAGACTGTTCACAGACTGTTTACAGACTGTTTACAGACTGTTTACAGACTGTTTACAGACTGTTTACAGACTGTTCACAGACTGTTCACAGACTGTTTACAGACTGTTTACAGACTGTTCACAGACTGTTTACAGACTGTTTACAGACTGTTTACAGACTGTTTACAGACTGTTCACAGACTGTTCACAGACTGTTTACAGACTGTTTACAGACTGTTTACAGACTGTTTACAGACTGTTTACAGACTGTTCACAGACTGTTCACAGACTGTTTACAGACTGTTCACAGACTGTTTACAGACTGTTTACAGACTGTTCACAGACTGTTTACAGACTGTTTACAGACTGTTTACAGACTGTTCACAGACTGTTCACAGACTGTTTACAGACTGTTCACAGACTGTTCACAGACTGTTTACAGACTGTTTACAGACTGTTTACAGACTGTTTACAGACTGTTTACAGACTGTTTACAGACTGTTTACAGACTGTTTACAGACTGTTCACAGACTGTTCACAGACTGTTTACAGACTGTTTACAGACTGTTTACAGACTGTTTACAGACTGTTCACAGACTGTTTACAGACTGTTTACAGACTGTTCACAGACTGTTCACAGACTGTTTACAGACTGTTCACAGACTGTTTACAGACTGTTTACAGACTGTTCACAGACTGTTTACAGACTGTTTACAGACTGTTTACAGACTGTTTACAGACTGTTTACAGACTGTTCACAGACTGTTCACAGACTGTTTACAGACTGTTCACAGACTGTTTACAGACTGTTCACAGACTGTTCACAGACTGTTTACAGACTGTTCACAGACTGTTTACAGACTGTTTACAGACTGTTTACAGACTGTTTACAGACTGTTTACAGACTGTTCACAGACTGTTTACAGACTGTTTACAGACTGTTTACAGACTGTTCACAGACTGTTCACAGACTGTTTACAGACTGTTTACAGACTGTTTACAGACTGTTTACAGACTGTTTACAGACTGTTCACAGACTGTTCACAGACTGTTTACAGACTGTTCACAGACTGTTCACAGACTGTTTACAGACTGTTTACAGACTGTTTACAGACTGTTTACAGACTGTTCACAGACTGTTCACAGACTGTTTACAGACTGTTCACAGACTGTTTACAGACTGTTTACAGACTGTTCACAGACTGTTTACAGACTGTTTACAGACTGTTCACAGACTGTTCACAGACTGTTTACAGACTGTTCACAGACTGTTTACAGACTGTTTACAGACTGTTTACAGACTGTTTACAGACTGTTTACAGACTGTTTACAGACTGTTTACAGACTGTTTCACAGACTGTTCACAGACTGTTTACAGACTGTTCACAGACTGTTTACAGACTGTTCACAGACTGTTTACAGACTGTTTACAGACTGTTTACAGACTGTTTACAGACTGTTTACAGACTGTTTACAGACTGTTTACAGACTGTTTACAGACTGTTTACAGACTGTTTACAGACTGTTTACAGACTGTTTACAGACTGTTCACAGACTGTTCACAGACTGTTTACAGACTGTTCACAGACTGTTCACGGACTGTTTACAGACTGTTTACAGACTGTTTACAGACTGTTTACAGACTGTTTACAGACTGTTCACAGACTGTTTACAGACTGTTTACAGACTGTTCACAGACTGTTACGACTGTTTACAGACTGTTTACAGACTGTTTACAGACTGTTTACAGACTGTTCACAGACTGTTTACAGACTGTTACAGACTGTTTACAGGACTGTTTACAGACTGTTCACAGACTGTTTACAGACTGTTTACAGACTGTTCACAGACTGTTCACAGACTGTTTACAGACTGTTCACAGACTGTTTACAGACTGTTTCACAGACTGTTTACAGACTGTTTACAGACTGTTTACAGACTGTTTACAGACTGTTCACAGACTTTACAGACTGTTTACAGACTGTTACAGACTGTTTACAGACTGTTTACAGACTGTTTACAGACTGTTCACAGACTGTTCACAGACTGTTTACAGACTGTTTACAGACTGTTTACAGACTGTTTACAGACTCAACAGACTGTTACAGACTGTTCACAGACTGTTCACAGACTGTTCACAGACTGTTTACAGACTGTTCACAGACTGTTTACAGACTGTTCACAGACTGTTTACAGACTGTTTACAGACTGTTTACAGACTGTTTACAGACTGTTTACAGACTGTTTACAGACTGTTTACAGACTGTTTACAAGTGGGGGACAAGTCTCTCATTGTTGTGACGGCCTACGGGCCTAACGGTAGTGCAGAGTACCCGGCCATCTTGGAGTCCTTGGGAGGGGTACTGGACAGTGCACCGCCCGGGGACTCCGTTATTCTCCTGGGGGACTTCAACGCCCATGTGGGAAACGCCAGTGACACTTGGAGAGGGATGATCGGGAAGAACGGCCCCCCTGATCTGAACCCGAGCGGTGTTCAGTTGTTGGACTTCTGTGCCAGTCACGGCCTGTCCATCACGAACACCATGTTCGAGCACAAGGGTGTCCACCAGTGCACGTGGCACCAGGACACCCTAGGCCGGAGGTCGATGATCGACTTTGTTGTCGTATCATCTGACCTTCGACCGCGTGTCTCGGACACTCGGGTGAAGAGAGGGGCGGAGCTAAATAGAGGGGCGGAGCTAAAGAGAGGGGCGGAGCTGTCAACCGATCATCACCTGGTCGTGAGTTGGATCCGCTGGCAGGGGAAGAAGCCGGTCAGACCTGGCAGACCCAAGCGTATAGTGAGGGTCTGCTGGGAACGTCTCGCTGAGCCCCCTGTCAGACGGACTTTCAACTCACACCTCCGGGAGAGCTTCTCCCAGGTCCCGGCGGAGGAGGGGGACATTGAGTCCGAGTGGACCATGTTCTCTTCCTCTATCGCCAATGCGGCGGCTCGAAGCCGTGGTCGCAAGGTCTCTGGTGCTGGTCCCGGCGGCAATCCCCGAACCCGGTGGTGGACACCGGCAGTAAGGGATGCCGTCAGGCTGAAGAAGGAGTCCTATCGAGCAATGATGGTTCGTGGGACTCCTGAGGCAGCTGTCCAGTACCGGCAGGCCAAGCGTGCCGCGGCCCGGGCTGTTGCAGAGGCAAAAACCCGGGACTGGGAGGAGTTCGGAGAGTCCATGGAGCATGACTATCGGTCGGCCTCGAAGAGGTTCTGGCAAACCGTCCGGCGCCTCAGGAGGGGGAAGCAGTTCTTTGCCAACACCGTGTATGGTGCGGGTGGAGGGCTGCTGACCTCGACTGGGGATATTGTCGGGCGGTGGAAGGAATACTTTGAGGTTCTCCTCAATCCCCCCGTCACATCCTCCGTCCAGGAGGCAGAGGCTGAGGATGTTGGGGCGGATACTTCCATCTCCCTGGCCGAGGTCACCAAGGTGGTTGGCAGCCTCCATGGTGGCAAGGCGCCGGGAGTGGATGAGATCCGTCCTGACTATCTAAAGTCTCTGGATGTTGTGGGACTGTCTTGGCTGACACGTCTCTGCAACATCGCGTGGCGATCGGGGGCGGTGCCAATGGAGTGGCAGACCGGGGTGGTGGTCCCTCTCTACAAGAAGGGGGACCGGAGGGTGTGTTCCAATTATCGTGGGATCACACTCCTCAGCCTCCCCGGTAAGGTCTACTCCAAGGTACTGGAGAGGAGGCTACGTCCGATGGTCGAATCTCGGATTCAGGAGGAGCAGTGTGGTTTTCGTCCCGGTCGCGGAACACTGGACCAGCTCTATACTCTCCATCGGATACTCGAGGGTTCATGGGAGTTCGCCCAACCTGTCCACATGTGCTTTGTGGATTTGGAGAAGGCGTTCGACCGTGTTCCCCGGGGTGTCCTTTGGGGGGTCCTCCGGGAGTACGGGGTCCGGGGTCCTCTGCTGAGGGCTGTTCGGTCCCTGTATGACCGGAGCCAGAGCTGTGTTCGCATTGCCGGCAGTAAGTCAGACCTGTTCCCGGTGAATGTTGGCCTCCGCCAAGGCTGCCCTTTGTCACCGGTTCTGTTCACTGTATTTATGGACAGAATCTCTAGGCGCAGCCAGGGGCCGGAAGGGGTCCGGTTCGGGAACCACAGGATTTCATCTCTACTTTTTGCGGATGATGTCGTCCTGCTGGCTCCAACGAACCAGGACCTGCAGCATGCACTGGGACGGTTTGCAGCCGAGTGTGAAGCGGCTGGGATGAGAATCAGCACCTCCAAATCTGAGGCCATGGTGCTCGACCGGAAAAAGGTGCCTTGCCTTCTCCAGGTGGGTGGAGAGGTCCTTCCTCAAGTGGAGGAGTTCAAGTATCTCGGGGTCTTGTTCACGAGTGAGGGAAGAATGGAGCGTGAGATTGACAGGCGGATCGGTGCAGCGTGCGCAGTGATGCGGTCTCTGTATCGGACCGTTGTGGTAAAGAGGGAGCAGCGTCTGCAGTCAGAGCTGTATTGGACCGTTGTGGTAAAGAGGGAGCTGAGCCGAAAGGCAAAGCTCTCGATTTACCGGTCAATCTTTGTTCCCTCCCTCACCTATGGTCATGAGCTTTGGGTAATGACCGAAAGAACGAGATCGCGGATACAAGCGGTCGAAATGAGCTTCCTCCGCAGAGTGGCTGGGCGCTCCCTTAGAGATAGGGTGAGGAGCTCGGAGTAGAGCCGCTGCTCCCTTAGAGATAGGGTGAGGAGCTCAGTCACACGGGAGGAGCTCGGAGTAGAGCCGCTGCTTCTCCACGTTGAGAGGAACCAGTTGAGGTGGCTCGGGCATCTGTTCCGGATGCCTCCTGGACGCCTCCCTGGGGAGGTGTTCCGGGCACGTCCCACCGGGAGGAGGCCCCGCGGAAGACCCAGGACCCGCTGGAGGGACTATGTCTCTCAGCTGGCCTGGGAACGCCTTGGGGTCCCCCCGGACGAGCTGGAGGAAGTGTGTGTGGATAGGGAAGTCTGGGCGTCTCTGCTTAGACTGCTGCCCCCGTGACCCGGCAACGGATAAAGCGGAAGAAAATGGATGGATGGATGGACAAAAGCAAAACCCAGAGTAAAAACACTGAAAGAAACCAAACGGGCTAAAAGAGACGTGGGAAAGACAAAGACAGAACAGGGAGAGAAGACGACACAGGTTTAAAGAGACGGTGATGTTTTAAAACACATGGTGCAGGCTGAAAGCTAAGGCGACCTCGAGCACCAGAAAGGCACCATATACATAAAATGTATTATTATTATTTTAATCATTAATAAACAGAAAGCCATCAACCCATCGGCCCAGTGTCCGGGTAGAGTGTATGTCGAGAGAGAAAACAGCTGTTGTGGGACATGCTTTTAGTGCAGAGCCGGAGATGTGGCTATCGCTAACCGCTAACCGCACTAACCCAAACCGTGTGTCCGTGCTGTACGACCGGCGCTTATTAGAGGAGGAAGGTGCGGGCTGGGTTTCCTCTGGGCTCCTGCGGGGGCCAGCGGAGCGTGACAAGGGCCACAGTAAAACTACAGCTTCTGTGCTGAATTACAGGGAACCACTCTGATGTCTGCCCCCGGTCTCTCCAAGATGTCTGCCCCCGGTCTCTCCAAGATGTCTGCCCTGGTCTCTCCAAGATATCTGCCCTGGTCTCTCCAAGATGTCTGCCCCCGGTCTCTCCAAGATGTCTGCCCTGGTCTCTCCAAGATATCTGCCCTGGTCTCTCCAAGATGTCTGCCCTGGTCTCTCCAAGATGTCTGCCCTGGTCTCTCCAAGATGTCTGCCCCTGGTCTCCTCAGGGCGAGATAGAGAGACCAGAGAGAGACGAGAGACCGGAGTCTTACTCCTTGTTTGGAGACAGCTGTTTATGGTTCCGGTCTGTTGATGGTTGTCCTTAAAGCAGAGTCTGACTTCACCTCCTGCTCTCAGACAACAGCTGATTATAATCCTCCTTCAGGAAACTCACACAGACAGAGACCAGAGAGAGACCAGAGGGAGACCAGAGAGAGACCAGAGTGAGACCAGAGGGAGACCAGAGAAAGACCAGAGAAAGACCAGACAGAGACCAGAGAGAGAGAGACCAGAGAGAGAGACCAGAGGGAGACCAGAGAAAGACCAGAGAAAGACCAGACAGAGACCAGAGAGAGACCAGAGGGAGACCAGAGAAAGACCAGAGAAAGACCAGACAGAGACCAGAGAGAGAGAGACCAGAGAGAGACCAGTCCGGTGAGGACAGTGTTGTGGCCTCGTACAGCTGAGAATGTGGAGCATGTGGCGGGGAATACCAGGAACGCCGCCGTCTGGGACACGGCTGCGGCGCTGACAGGACATGGACCGGTTCCAGCGATGGAGACATCATCTGCAGCACGGACTACCAGCAGCCAATCAGCTCTCAGCCAATCAGCTCTCAGCCAATCAGCTCTCAGCCCAAAGAGGCAGATAGTGACTCAGAGAGAACCAACCTCACTGAGCCAACGATAAACACAGAATATGGTCAAATTTAAATAAATAACTCCCCCTCACCTCCTCCCACCTGCGCCTCACCCTCACCTCCTCCCACCTGTGCCTCCCCCTCACATCCCCCCCCCCCCCCCTTCCTGGGCCCCTGGGAGACCCTGTGTCTAAGACTTTAATCCACGTCAGAAACTAGAGCCAGAGCTAATGGTCCATTATCAGGGACAGGAGCACAGCCTCAAGGCTCCTCCTGCTGAGAGAGAGAGAGAGACCAGAGAGAGAGACCAGGGAGACCAGGGAGAGAGACCAGGGAGACCAGGGAGAGACCAGGGAGAGAGACCAGGGAGACCAGGGAGACAGACCAGGGAGACCAGGGAGAGACCAGGGAGAGAGACCAGGGAGACCAGGGAGAGACCAGAGAGAGAGACCAGGGAGACCAGGGAGAGACCAGGGAGAGAGACCAGAGAGAGAGACCAGGGAGACCAGGGAGAGAGACCAGAGAGAGACCAGGGAGACCAGGGAGAGAGACCAGAGAGAGAGACCAGGGAGAGAGACCAGGGAGACCAGGGAGAGACCAGGGAGACCAGGGAGAGAGACCAGAGAGAGAGACCAGGGAGAGAGACCAGGGAGAGACCAGGGAGAGAGACCAGGGAGACCAGGGAGAGACCAGGGAGACCAGAGAGAGAGACCAGGGAGAGAGACCAGGGAGAGACCAGGGAGACCAGGGAGAGAGACCAGAGAGAGAGACCAGAGAGACCAGGGAGAGACCAGGGAGACCAGGGAGAGACCAGGGAGAGAGACCAGAGAGAGAGACCAGAGAGACCAGGGAGAGACCAGGGAGAGAGACCAGGGAGAGACCAGGGAGACCAGGGAGAGACCAGGGAGAGAGACCAGAGAGAGAGACCAGAGAGACCAGGGAGAGACCAGAGAGAGAGACCAGGGAGACCAGGGAGAGAGACCAGAGAGAGACCAGGGAGAGACCAGGGAGACCAGGGAGAGACCAGGGAGAGAGACCAGAGAGAGAGACCAGAGAGACCAGGGAGAGACCAGAGAGAGAGACCAGGGAGACCAGGGAGAGAGACCAGAGAGAGACCAGAGAGAGACCAGAGAGAGAGACCAGAGAGAGAGACCAGAGAAAGACCAGAGAGAGACCAGAGAGAGACCATAAACTGCAGCAGGGACTTGATGGTGTGAGCATAGCTTATCTGGACCCGGCTCTAGACCCATCAGTCTCTCCCTCTCCTGCGTTTGACCCGATAACTTCAATTAGTCAACGTTTGTGCGCCAAAACACCAAGCCCAAACAAACTCCCCACCCCCCTCCACCCCCATCCTCCCCTCCACCCCCCTCCTCCCCCTCCCTCCCCCCTCCTCCCCCACGGCCGGGCCCTGGTCTCCATCAAAGTGCCACGGTTCGGAAAACCAGCTTCTAGGGTTTCGCTCTCTTGTTTTGGTTTCTGAGGAGGAGGTGGAGAGATGTGTGTAGAGGTTGTCTCATTAGTGCATAGGAAGAGCCTCCCCCCTCCCTCCCTCCCTGCCTCCCCCCCGACCCCGCCTCCCCCCTTGACCCCGCCTCCTCCCTCCTGTCCAATAGCGGCGCAGAGAGAGTGAGGGCTGGTTTTAATCAGAGCCGGAGAATGTTGGTTCATTGAGTGATGTTATGAACGAGGCATTCTTCAGTTTTTCTCAATGAACCTACAGTCTATATGAACCTACAGTCTGTATGAACCTACAGTCTGTATGAACCTACAGTCTGTATGAACCTACAGTCTGTATGAACCTACAGTCTGTATGAACCTACAGTCTATATGAACCTACAGTCTGTATGAACCTACAGTCTGTATGAACCTACAGTCTGTATGAACCTACAGTCTGTATGAACCTACAGTCTGTATGAACCTACAGTCTGTATGAACCTACAGTCTATATGAACCTACAGTCTGTATGAACCTACAGTCTGTATGAACCTACAGTCTATATGAACCTACAGTCTGATGAATGTATGAACCTACAGTCTATATGAACCTACAGTCTGTATGAACCTACAGTCTGTATGAACCTACAGTCTGTATGAACCTACAGTCTGTATGAACCTACAGTCTGTATGAACCTACAGTCTGTATGAACCTACAGTCTGTATGAACCTACAGTCTGTATGAACCTACCAGTCTGTATGAACCTACAGTCTGTATGAACCTACAGTCTGTATGAACCTACAGTCTATATGAACCTAGTCTATATGAACCTACAGTCTGTATGAACCTACAGTCTATATGAACCTACAGTCTGTATGAACCTACAGTCTATATGAACCTACAGTCTGTATGAACCTACAGTCTGTATGAACCTACAGTCTATATGAACCTACAGTCTGTATGAACCTACAGTCTTATGAACCTACAGTCTGTATGAACCTACAGTCTGTATGAACCTACAGTCTGTATGAACCTACAGTCTATATGAACCTAGTCTATATGAACCTACAGTCTGTATGAACCTACAGTCTGTATGAACCTACAGTCTGTATGAACCTACAGTCTGTATGAACCTACAGTCTATATGAACCTACAGTCTGTATGAACCTACAGTCTGTATGAACCTACAGTCTATATGAACCTACAGTCTGTATGAACCTACAGTCTGTATGAACCTACAGTCTGTATGAACCTACAGTCTGTATGAACCTACAGTCTGTATGAACCTACAGTCTATATGAACCTACAGTCTGTATGAACCTACAGTCTGTATGAACCTACAGTCTGTATGAACCTACAGTCTGTATGAACCTACAGTCTATATGAACCTACAGTCTGTATGAACCTACAGTCTGTATGAACCTACAGTCTGTATGAACCTACAGTCTGTATGAACCTACAGTCTATATGAACCTACAGTCTATATGAACCTACAGTCTGTATGAACCTACAGTCTGTATGAACCTACAGTCTTATGAACCTACAGTCTGATGAACCTACAGTCTATATGAACCTACAGTCTGTATGAACCTACAGTCTGTATGAACCTACAGTCTGTATGAACCTACAGTCTGTATGAACCTACAGTCTATATGAACCTACAGTCTGTATGAACCTACAGTCTGTATGAACCTACAGTCTATATGAACCTACAGTCTATATGAACCTACAGTCTATATGAACCTACATTCTGTATGAACCTACAGTCTATATGAACCTACAGTCTGTATGAACCTACATTCTGTATGAACCTACAGTCTGTATGAACCTACAGTCTATATGAACCTACAGTCTATATGAACCTACAGTCTGTATGAACCTACAGTCTGTATGAACCTACAGTCTGTATGAACCTACAGTCTGTATGAACCTACAGTCTGTATGAACCTACAGTCTGTATGAACCTACAGTCTGTATGAACCTACAGTCTATATGAACCTACAGTCTGTATGAACCTACAGTCTGTATGAACCTACAGTCTGTATGAACCTACAGTCTGTATGAACCTACAGTCTGTATGAACCTACAGTCTATATGAACCTACAGTCTGTATGAACCTACAGTCTGTATGAACCTACAGTCTGTATGAACCTACAGTCTGTATGAACCTACAGTCTGTATGAACCTACAGTCTGTATGAACCTACAGTCTGTATGAACCTACAGTCTTATGAACCTACAGTCTATATGAACCTACAGTCTATATGAACCTACAGTCTATATGAACCTACAGTCTGTATGAACCTACAGTCTGTATGAACCTACAGTCTATATGAACCTACAGTCTGTATGAACCTACAGTCTGTATGAACCTACAGTCTATATGAACCTACAGTCTGTATGAACCTACAGTCTGTATGAACCTACAGTCTGTATGAACCTACAGTCTGTATGAACCTACAGTCTGTATGAACCTACAGTCTATATGAACCTAGTCTATATGAACCTAGTCTGTATGACTACATATGAACCTACAGTCTGTATGAACCTACAGTCTGTATGAACCTACAGTCTGTATGAACCTACAGTCTATATGAACCTACAGTCTGTATGAACCTACAGTCTGTATGAACCTACAGTCTATATGAACCTACAGTCTGTATGAACCTACAGTCTATATGAACCTACAGTCTGTATGAACCTACAGTCTGTATGAACCTACAGTCTGTATGAACCTACAGTCTGTATGAACCTACAGTCTATATGAACCTACAGTCTGTATGAACCTACAGTCTATATGAACCTACAGTCTGTATGAACCTACAGTCTATATGAACCTACAGTCTGTATGAACCTACAGTCTATATGAACCTACAGTCTGTATGAACCTACAGTCTATATGAACCTACAGTCTGTATGAACCTACAGTCTGTATGAACCTACAGTCTATATGAACCTACAGTCTGTATGAACCTAGTCTATATGAACCTACAGTCTGTATGAACCTACAGTCTGTATGAACCTACAGTCTATATGAACCTACAGTCTGTATGAACCTACAGTCTGTATGAACCTACAGTCTGTATGAACCTACAGTCTGTATGAACCTACAGTCTGTATGAACCTACAGTCTGTATGAACCTACAGTCTATATGAACCTACAGTCTGTATGAACCTACAGTCTGTATGAACCTACAGTCTATATGAACCTACAGTCTATATGAACCTACAGTCTATATGAACCTACATTCTGTATGAACCTACAGTCTATATGAACCTACAGTCTGTATGAACCTACATTCTGTATGAACCTACAGTCTGTATGAACCTACAGTCTATATGAACCTACAGTCTATATGAACCTACAGTCTGTATGAACCTACAGTCTGTATGAACCTACAGTCTATATGAACCTACAGTCTGTATGAACCTACAGTCTGTATGAACCTACAGTCTGTATGAACCTACAGTCTATATGAACCTACAGTCTATATGAACCTACAGTCTGTATGAACCTACAGTCTGTATGAACCTACAGTCTGTATGAACCTACAATCTGTATGAACCTACAGTCTATATGAACCTAGTCTATATGAACCTACAGTCTGTATGAACCTACAGTCTGTATGAACCTACAGTCTATATGAACCTACAGTCTGTATGAACCTACAGTCTGTATGAACCTACAGTCTGTATGAACCTACAGTCTGTATGAACCTACAGTCTATATGAACCTACAGTCTATATGAACCTACAGTCTGTATGAACCTACAATCTGTATGAACCTACAGTCTGTATGAACCTACAGTCTATATGAACCTAGTCTATATGAACCTACAGTCTGTATGAACCTACAGTCTATATGAACCTACAGTCTGTATGAACCTACAGTCTGTATGAACCTACAGTCTGTATGAACCTACAGTCTGTATGAACCTACAGTCTATATGAACCTACAGTCTGTATGAACCTAGTCTATATGAACCTACAGTCTGTATGAACTATTTGTCTGAGCAGCAAAACTAAAAAAAGAAATGGAACCATGTCTCTAGGTCAGCCTTGTTAAAGGCAGGAAACAGGACCCAGGACTGAGGCTGTAGACCCAGGACGGAGGCTGTAGACCCAGGACTAAAGGCTGTAGACCCAGGACTGAGGCTGTAGACCCAGGACTGAGGCTGTAGACCCAGGACTGAGGCTGTAGACCCAGGACTGAGGCTGTAGACCCAGGACGGAGGCTGTAGACCCAGGACTGAGGCTGTAGATCCAGGACTGAGGCTGTAGACCCAGGACTGAGGCTGTAGACCCAGGACGGAGGCTGTAGACCCAGGACGGAGGCTGTAGACCCAGGACTGAGGCTGTAGACCCAGGACTGAGGCTGTAGACCCAGGACGGAGGATGTAGACCCAGGACTGAGGCTGTAGACCCAGGACTGAGGCTGTAGACCCAGGACTGAGACTGTAGACCCAGGACTGAGGCTGTAGACCCAGGACTGAGGCTGTAGACCCAGGACTGAGGCTGTAGACCCAGGACTGAGGCTGTAGACCCAGGACTGAGGCTGTATATATGGAATCACATCATATCGATCATTAGCGATGACAGAATCCTAAACAGACTGTGACACTAACCCCGCCCTCTTCCCGGTCTCTCCGCAGGCTCCTCGTGGTCCCAGTCCTCCTGCCCCCTCGGGTCCTGGCTCCTGTAACCCTCTGTACGAAGACAACTGCAACCCTCTGACCGCCACTCGCTTCGCCTCGCCGCCCGAGTCCTACAAGAAAGGAGAGAGCGAGGAGGCGGCGGCCATCCGAGCGGCTCCTCCCCCTTCAGCCGCCGACCACAGCTTTGACCCCTACGCTGCCTACAGAGACGCCTATGCTAACAGAGACGCCTATGCTAACAGAGACGCTTATGCTAGCTCTAACCAGGAGTCGTATGGAAACCGTATCCCTGATCCTTACGCCATGTACCGCACGCCCACGCCCCGCCAGGCCGACCCCTACGCCATGATCCGCCGCCTTATGTCCCAGGCCCAGCTCAATGACCCCTACGCCCCCCGCCCTGACGACCCCTCGGCCGCCTCTGGTCCCGCCCCCGGCCCTGACGCCGGTGAAGGCAATGACCCCTTCTCTGTCATCCGTGAAGCGGCGGCCTCCATGCACCGCCAGCACCAGCGACAGGCCGGGCACCAGTTCCCGTTCGCCAACCAGGAGGAGGAGCCTCAGCCGGCCCAGCACCACCCCCTGGGACCCCCGGGGAAGACCAAGGAGGGCTATGACTGCTACATGGGCTACGACCCCGAGTGCATCCCGCTGAAGCCCTCCCAGCCGCGGTTTGGAGGCTCCAGACACGCCCACCCGGCGCACCCTGCCCCCGCGGCGGAGACCAGAGCTGGGGAGGACGGCCAGCAGAGATACATGGAGCCGTCCAATCCAGACTGCGACCCGGAGTACGACCGAGACTGCAGACTGAGGCGCTACGAGCCCGAGGTCCAGGTGAGACACTCATCATACTACACTGTTAGAGGCTGTAGACCCAGGACTGAGACTGTAGACCCAGGACTGAGGCTGTAGACCCAGGACTGAGACTGTAGACCCAGGACTGAGGCTGTAGACCCAGGACTGAGGCTGTAGACCCAGGACTGAGGCTGTGGACCCAGGACTGTGGCTGTAGACCCAGGACTGAGGCTGTAGACCCAGGACTGATGCTGTAGACCCAGGACTGATGCTGTAGACCCAGGACTGATGCTGTAGACCCAGGACTGAGGCTGTAGACCCAGGACTGATGCTGTAGACCCAGGACTGAGGCTGTAGACCCAGGACTGAGACTGTAGACCCAGGACTGAGACTGTAGACCCAGGACTGAGGCTGTAGACCCAGGACTGAGGCTGTAGACCCAGGACTGAGGCTGTAGACCCAGGACTGAGACTGTAGACCCAGGACTGAGGCTGTAGACCTTGGACTGAGGCTGTAGACCCTGGACTGAGGCTGTGGACCCAGGACTGAGACTGACATAAATCCCCTCTGGTCCTGCACAGATCCCAGCAGAACCAGAGGAGCGCCACCATGAGGAGCCCGAGGAGAACGCGCAGCCGGAGCAGGACCCGTACGAGACCGAGCCCTTCCAGAGCGGCCAGGACGACCTGCCCTACGCCCCCAACACCAACCCTAATGTGCCCACCCTGCAGGACATCCTCCGGCGCTACGGGGACCAGTTCGGAGACCAGTTCAAAGACCAGTTCAAAGACCAGTACGCAGACCAGTACGGCGAACAGGAGGAGCGCTACCGCAAGAAGTGAAGGCGGCGACTTTAGCCGTGTCCCGAGCCCCGAGGCTGAGACTGAGGCTGAGGACTGAGGCTGAGGCTGAGGCTGGGGCTGAGGCTGAGGCTGAGGCTGAGGCTGAGGCTGAGGCTGAGGCTGAGGCTGAGGCTGAGGCTGAGGCTGAGGCTGAGGACTGAGGCTGAGGCTGAGGCTGAGGCTGAGGACTGAGGCTGAGGCTGAGGCTGAGGCTGAGGCTGAGGCTGAGGCTGAGGCTGAGGCTGAGGCTGAGGCCAGGTTATCTGTATAGCACAGTTTACACACAAGAAAACATCAGAATCTTATGTCGAGGCTTATTTTTGAAAAACACACAGAGACGATGGTTCATAAGAGACTGAGATGTTGTTTATAAATGTCCATAAAAGTCCATTCAAGTTAATAATAAGACCAGATACACCAGGTGTCTCCAACCTTTTTCACCCAGAGAGCTACTGTCCAGGACCATAAAGGCAGAGAGCTACTGTCCCAGGACCATAAAAACAATCTCAAATATAAGTATATTATCTATATTATTTGTTAATTTCTAAATTCTTTGGCGAGCTACAGGAAAGGGGTGGCGAGCTACAGGAAAGGGGTGGAGAGCTACAGGTTGGAGACCCCTGAGATAGACATTATTTTTCTCACACCAGAGACATTTACAATAATAATAATAATAATAAATCAAACTGATATGGTGCTTTTTGGACAGTCAAAGACACTTTACAAAACACATAGAAATGAACATTGAAAAACTAAATTAAGGAAAGGCTGAAACAGGTTTTGAGATTTAAAGTTCTGTAGTGAGTCGGAGCTTCTGATTGGTCGAGGGAGTGGGGGCGGCTGCAGGATAGAGCTTTATCCAAACACACTTCTTCTAATTAGTGTCATAATTATAATCTGAGATATGTTCAATGAAAGAGTCTGAGATTCTGCTTCTGCTTCTTTCATCGTTAAACCTTTGTCTCTGTTTTGTTATGTTCAGTCCGTATAAACGAGGAAACTATTCAACGTCTGATTTTGCTCCATCTCATTAGCGGTTTATCTTTAGGCTCTGGGCTTTAGCGACAGACTTGACTCGGACCTGGGCCTGGACCTTGACTTGATCTCCTGGACCTAGACCTGGACCCACTCAGACGCCTTCTCCAGCCTCGGATCGGGACATGGCTAAAAAGAAAAACACAGAAAAATGAAATGTACAAAGTGTGAGGACCAGAACCCGCCCAGTCCTCACTCTGGACACCATGGGACACAATGAACCCTAACGAGACCATAACAAGACCCCAACCAGACCCCGACGAGACCGTAGAGAGACCCCGAAGAGACCCCGAGAGCCGTGCTGCCCCCTGGCTGCAGACCGGAGCAGGGAGTATGTCTTGGATTTGTTTTCGTGACGACGTTTCTTTGCGTTTCTCTTTAGTCGGTTTTCTGCCGCTCTGTCCTCGTCCCGTTCAGTCCAGACGGTTTTTCTTACGTCGCGTCAAAGATTTGTCATTTTTGGATGTTCTAATAAAAGTTTACAAAAGGTGCTGCTGCTTCATGTTGTTATTTTCTGCCCAGTTTAATAAGACCCAGGACTGAGGCTGTAGACCCAGGACTGAGGCTGTAGACCCAGGACTGAGGCTGTAGACCCAGGACTGAGGCTGTAGACCCAGGACTGAGGCTGTAGACCCAGGACTGAGGCTGTAGACCCAGGACTGAGGCTGTAGACCCAGGACTGAGGCTGTGGACCCAGGACTGAGGCTGTAGACCCAGGACTGAGGCTGTAGACCCAGGACTGAGGCTGTAGACCCAGGACTGAGGCTGTAGACCCAGGACTGAGGCTGTAGACCCAGGACTGAGGCTGTAGACCCAGGACTGAGGCTGTAGACCCAGGACTGAGGCTGTAGACCCAGGACTGAGGCTGTAGATCCAGGACTGAGGCTGTAGACCCAGGACTGAGGCTGTAGACCCAGGACTGAGGCTGTAGATCCAGGACTGAGGCCGTAGACCCAGAACTGAGGCCGTAGATCCAGGACTGAGGCTGTAGACCCAGGACTGAGGCTGTAGACCCAGGACTGAGGCTGTAGACCCAGGACTGAGGCTGTAGACCCAGGACTGAGGCTGTAGACCCAGGACTGAGGCTGTAGACCCAGGACTGAGGCTGTAGATCCAGGACTGAGGCTGTAGACCCAGGACTGAGGCTGTAGACCCAGGACTGAGGCTGTAGATCCAGGACTGAGGCTGTAGACCCAGAACTGTTGTTAAAAGCGATTGTCACATCTTTCCTCCTGTGAGTCCGGTCTCGACCTGAAGACCTGAAGTGGGCGGGGCCTGCTGCTCGGTCTCTTCATTCTCCGCACACATCCGCCGGCTCCACTTTCCTCGTGGCTTCAATAAGCTCTCGCAGCTGGAGCTTCGTTTTCTTATTTATGAAGAGGAACATGGAAAAGCACAAAGCTGCGTAATCTGACGAAGACAACAGCTCTTCATCATTTTAATGTGTATTTAACATCCTCTGAGATAGTCTGGGTTTAGACTGGTTTAGTCCTGCTTTAGACCTGCTTTAGACCTGCTTTAGTCCTGCTTTAGACCTGCTTTAGACCTGCTTTAGTCCTGCTTTAGACCTGCTTTAGACCTGCTTTAGACCTGCTTTAGTCCTGCTTTAGACCTGCTTTAGACCTGCTTTAGTCCTGCTTTAGACCTGCTTTAGACCTGCTTTAGACCTGCTTTAGACCTGCTTTAGACCTGCTTTAGTCCTGCTTTAGACCTGCTTTAGACCTTCTTTAGACCTGCTTTAGTCCTGCTTTAGTCCTGCTTTAGACCTGCTTTAGACCTGCTTTAGACCTGCTTTAGACCTTCTTTAGACCTGCTTTAGTCCTGCTTTAGACCTGCTTTAGACCTGCTTTAGACCTGCTTTAGTCCTGCTTTAGACCTGCTTTAGACCTGCTTTAGTCCTGCTTTAGACCTGCTTTAGACCTGCTTTAGTCCTGCTTTAGACCTGCTTTAGACCTGCTTTAGACCTGCTTTAGTCCTGCTTTAGACCTGCTTTAGACCTGCTTTAGACCTTCTTTAGACCTGCTTTAGTCCTGCTTTAGACCTGCTTTAGACCTGCTTTAGACCTGCTTTAGTCCTGCTTTAGACCTGCTTTAGACCTGCTTTAGTCCTGCTTTAGACCTGCTTTAGACCTGCTTTAGTCCTGCTTTAGACCTGCTTTAGTCCTGCTTTAGTCCTGCTTTAGACCTGCTTTAGTCCTACTTTAGACCTGCTTTAGTCCTACTTTAGACCTGCACACACACACTGAGAGACAGGCTTAGAGACACACATGGAGACGTACACACACACACACAGACACACACACATGAGACACAGGCTTAGAGACACACATGGAGACGTACACACACACACAGACACACACTGAGAGACAGGCTTAGAGACACACATGGAGACGCACACACACACACACACACACACAGACACACACTGAGACACAGGCTTAGAGACACACATGGAGACACACACACACACAGAGACACACACACACACACACACACACTGAGAGACAGGCTTAGAGACACACATGGAGACGCACACACACACACACACACAGACACACACTGAGAGACAGGCTTAGAGACACACATGGAGACGCACACACACACACACAGACACACACTGAGAGACAGGCTTAGAGACACACATGGAGACGTACACACACACACACACACACACACACACATACACACACAGACACACACTGAGAGACAGGCTTAGAGACACACATGGAGACGCACACACACACACACACACACAGACACACACTGAGAGACAGGCTTAGAGACACACATGGAGACGTACACACACACACAGACACACACTGAGAGACACGCTTAGAGACACACATGGAGACGTACACACACACACACACACACACACACACACACACACACACAGACACACACTGAGAGACAGGCTTAGAGACACACATGGAGACGTACACACACACAGAGACACACACACACACACACACACACTGAGAGACAGGCTTAGAGACACACATGGAGACGTACACACACACACAGACACACACTGAGACACAGGCTTAGAGACACACATGGAGACGTACACACACACACAGACACACACTGAGAGACACGCTTAGAGACACACATGGAGACGCACACACACACACACACACACACAGACACACACTGAGAGACAGGCTTAGAGACACACATGGAGACGCACACACACACAGAGACACACACACACACACACACTGAGAGACAGGCTTAGAGACACACATGGAGACACACACACACACACAGACACACACTGAGAGACACGCTTAGAGACACACATGGAGACGGACACACCCACACACACACAGACACACACTGAGAGACAGGCTTAGAGACACACATGGAGACGTACACACACACACACACAGACACACACTGAGAGACACGCATAGAGACACTCACGGAGATACACACACACACAGAGAAAGACACACACACTTGGAGACATACACACGCACATATGCACACACATACACACACATACACATACACACACACACACACAAACTCTGGTCCTCTGGTCTAACCTCCTGGGAGCTGGGACCTGCTAAAGACCATGGAGACCCAAACCCCTGAACCTGAGACCATGGAGAAACCATCAACCCCACAGCCCTGGACCAGGGGAAGCCTGGACGATAACCAGAAGTCCTCAACAGGAACTGAAACTGGATCTTTGTGATCTCACAGCTTTCTCCTGTCGCTCCATCGCTGCTTCTCTCCATCCATCAAAAACACTTCCTCCAAACAGGCCGTTGCATTAGCAGAACTCACATGGTGTCTGGGTGTTTGATGGTGTCTGGGTGTGCGATGGTGTCTGGTTATATGTCGCCATTAACGAATTAGCACAAAGAAGCATGGACTAAAGGAAGTCTCTGGAGGACAAACATGTTCTGGTTTCTCTGATGGAAAAGAAGGAATGGAATCACAACATTGGAAACCCAGGACTGAGACTGTAGACCCAGGACTGAGGCTGTAGACCCAGGACTGAGGCTGTAGACCCAGGACTGAGGCTGTAGACCCAGGACTGAGGCTGTAGACCCAGGACTGAGGCTGTAGACCCAGGACTGAGGCTGTAGACCCAGGACTGAGGCTGTAGACCCAGGACTGAGGCTGTAGACCCAGGACTGAGGCTGTAGACCCAGGACTGAGACTGTAGACCCAGGACTGAGGCTGTAGACCCAGGACTGAGGCTGTAGACCCAGGACTGAGGCTGTAGACCCAGGACTGAGGCTGTAGATCCAGGACTGAGGCTGTAGACCCAGGACTGAGGCTGTAGACCCAGGACTGAGACTGTAGACCCAGGACTGAGGCTGTAGACCCAGGACTGAGGCTGTAGACCCAGGACTGAGGCTGTAGACCCAGGACTGAGGCTGTAGACCCAGGACTGAGGCTGTAGACCCAGGACTGAGGCTGTAGACCCAGGACTGAGGCTGTAGACCCAGGACTGAGGCTGTAGACCCAGGACTGAGGCTGTAGACCCAGGACTGAGACTGTAGACCCAGGACTGAGGCTGTAGACCCAGGACTGAGGCTGTAGACCCAGGACTGAGGCTGTAGACCCAGGACTGAGGCTGTAGACCCAGGACTGAGGCTGTAGACCCAGGACTGAGGCTGTAGACCCAGGACTGAGGCTGTAGACCCAGGACTGAGGCTGTAGACCCAGGACTGAGGCTGTAGACCCAGGACTGAGGCTGTAGACCCAGGACTGAGGCTGTAGACCCAGGACTGAGGCTGTAGACCCAGGACTGAGGCTGTAGACCCAGGACTGAGGTTGTGAACCCAGGACTGAGGCTGTAGACCCAGGACTGAGGCTGTAGACCCAGGACTGAGGCTGTAGACCCAGGACTGAGGCTGTAGACCCAGGACTGAGGCTGTAGACTCAGGACTGAGGCTGTAGACCCAGGACTGAGGCTGTAGACCCAGGACTGAGGCTGTAGACCCAGGACTGAGGTTGTAGACCCAGGACTGAGGCTGTAGACCCAGGACTGAGGCTGTAGACCCAGGACTGAGGCTGTAGACCCAGGACTGAGGCTGTAGACCCAGGACTGAGGCTGTAGACTCAGGACTGAGGCTGTAGACCCAGGACTGAGGCTGTAGACCCAGGACTGAGGCTGTAGACCCAGGACTGAGGCTGTAGACCCAGGACTGAGGCTGTAGACCCAGGACTGAGGCTGTAGACCCAGGACTGAGGCTGTAGACCCAGGACTGAGGCTGTAGACCCAGGACTGAGGCTGTAGACCCAGGACTGAGGCTGTAGACCCAGGACTGAGGCTGTAGACCCAGGACTGAGGCTGTAGACCCAGGACTGAGGCTGTAGACCCAGGACTGAGGCTGTAGACCCAGGACTGAGGTTGTGAACCCAGGACTGAGGCTGTAGACCCAGGACTGAGGCTGTAGACCCAGGACTGAGGCTGTAGACCCAGGACTGAGGCTGTAGACCCAGGACTGAGGCTGTAGACTCAGGACTGAGGCTGTAGACCCAGGACTGAGGCTGTAGACCCAGGACTGAGGCTGTAGACCCAGGACTGAGGTTGTAGACCCAGGACTGAGGCTGTAGACCCAGGACTGAGGCTGTAGACCCAGGACTGAGGCTGTAGACCCAGGACTGAGGCTGTAGACCCAGGACTGAGGCTGTAGACTCAGGACTGAGGCTGTAGACCCAGGACTGAGGCTGTAGACCCAGGACTGAGGCTGTAGACCCAGGACTGAGGCTGTAGACCCAGGACTGAGGTTGTAGACCCAGGACTGAGGCTGTAGACCCAGGACTGAGGCTGTAGACCCAGGACTGAGGCTGTAGACCCAGGACTGAGACTGTAGACCCAGGACTGAGGCTGTAGACCCAGGACTGAGGCTGTAGACCCAGGACTGAGGCTGTAGACCCAGGACTGAGGCTGTAGACCCAGGGACTGAGGCTGTAGACCCAGGACTGAGGCTGTAGACCCAGGACTGAGGCTGTAGACCCAGGACTGAGGCTGTAGACCCAGGACTGAGGCTGTAGACCCAGGACTGAGGCTGTAGACCCAGGACTGAGGCTGTAGACCCAGGACTGAGGCTGTAGACCCAGGACTGAGGCTGTAGACCCAGGACTGAGGTTGTAGACCCAGGACTGAGGCTGTAGACCCAGGACTGAGGCTGTAGACCCAGGACTGAGGCTGTAGACCCAGGACTGAGGCTGTAGACCCAGGACTGAGGCTGTAGACTCAGGACTGAGGCTGTAGACCCAGGACTGAGGCTGTAGACCCAGGACTGAGGCTGTAGACCCAGGACTGAGGTTGTAGACCCAGGACTGAGGCTGTAGACCCAGGACTGAGGCTGTAGACCCAGGACTGAGGCTGTAGACCCAGGACTGAGGCTGTAGATCTAGAAAACAAAACCTCACACACACGTGCTGTTTTGAAAAGAAGACCTGGTTCCAGTCTGTTCCAGTCTGTTCCAGTCCAAATGACCCATGCCGACTCAGACCAGCGCAGACCCCAGTGCTTCCTGCTCCAGCCCGGGTCTTCGGTTCTTGGGTCCTTGGGTCCGGGTCTTTGATCTCGCAGATGGCCGCAGCAGCTCTGTGTTCTCTTCAGTCTGTGATGTACTTGACCCCTGACCCCTGGGTGATCCATCGCCGTGGTTACCCTGAAGATGGATGTGGTGGTTCCGTTTGGGTGGTTCCTGGGTCAACCTGTGATTATGATTCTAATGTTAGCTTCTCGTCAGGTCACTGAGACTGTTGTGTCCATGGGCAAGACACTCCCCCCACATGAGCATGAGTGTGTGTGGCTGCCTCGCTGCTGTCAGTGTGCCCCAGGGCAGCTGTGGCTTTACACTTTGTTACCACTGTGTTTGGAGCATCTTTGAGTGTCCAGAAAAGTTCTCTCTCTCCAGTCTCTATCAGTTCTCACACTACGGCCTCTCCCTCTCCCTAGTCTCTCTCCCTCTCTCCCTCCCTCTCTCCCTCTCCCCCTCCCTCTCTCCCTCTCTCCCTCCCCCTCTCTCCCTCTCCCCCTCCCTCTCTCTCCCTCTCCCCCTCCCTCTCTCCCTCTCTCCCTCCCTCTCTCTCCCTCTCCCCCTCCCTCTCTCCTCTCTCCCCCTCCCTCTCTCTCCCTCTCTCCCTCCCTCTCTCTCCCTCTCCCCCTCCCTCTCTCCCTCTCCCCCTCCCTCTCTCTCCCTCTCTCCCTCCCTCTCTCTCCCTCTCCCTCTCCCTCCCTCTCTCCCTCTCTCCCTCCCTCTCTCTCCCTCTCCCCCTCCCTCTCTCCCTCTCCCCCTCCCTCTCTCCCTCTCTCCCTCCCTCTCTCTCCCTCTCTCCCCCCCCCCCCCTCCCTCTCTCCCTCTCCTCCCTCCCCCTCTCTCCCTCTCTCCCTCCCTCTCTCCCTCTCCCCCTCCCCTCTCCCTCCCTCCCTCTCTCCCTCTCTCCCTCCCCCTCTCTCCCTCTCCCCCTCCCTCTCTCTCCCTCTCCCCCTCCCTCTCTCCCTCTCTCCCTCCCTCTCTCTCCCTCTCCCCCTCCCTCTCTCCCTCTCTCCCTCCCTCTCTCTCCCTCTCCCCCTCCCTCTCTCCCTCTCCCCCTCCCTCTCTCCTCTCTCTCCCTCCCTCTCTCTCCCTCTCCCCCTCCCTCTCTCCCTCTCTCCTCCCTCCCTCTCTCTCCCTCTCCCCCCTCCCTCTCTCTCTCCCTCTCCCCCTCCCTCTCTCCCTCTCTCCCTCCCTCTCTCTCTCCCTCTCCCCCTCCCTCTCTCCCTCTCTCCCTCCCCCTCTCTCCCTCTCTCCCTCCCTCTCTCTCCCTCTCCCCCTCCCTCTCTCCCTCTCTCCCTCTCTCCCTCTCCCCCTCCCTCTCTCCCTCCCCCTCTCTCCCTCTCCCCTCCCCCCCTCTCCCTGAGCCAGCCCGCCGCTCGAGGCTCGCCGTTGGTAATGGCCTCAGAACACGTCAGTTGGACGCCGCCGCACACTGTAAATAACGCTCGTCGATGGAACGTTGGGAGCGTGGATTCCAGAGGCGTGAGTGGAAGTACCTCTGCAGATGTCACCGGGATCGTGTCGGAAAAACCAGACCACAGCCTCAGCGCCGTGTGTTCTACTGTTACTCTTCAAATATGTGTAGGAACGCCAGCGCCGTGTCCTGAGGCGGGCGCCAACCTGCAACGCTATAGGCCCCGAGCTGAGGCCCCGAGCTGAGGCTCCGATCTAAGGTTCAGACCTGTGGTCCAGACTTGTGGTCCAGACCTGTGGTCCGGACCTGTGGCCCGGACCTGTGGCCCGGACCTGAGGCCCAGAGCTGTGGCCCAGACCTGTGGTCCAGACCTGTGGCCCAGAGCTGTGGCCCAGAGCTGAGGCCCAGAGCTGAGGCCCAGAGCTGAGGCCCAGAGCTGAGGCCCAGAGCTGAGGCCCAGAGCTGAGGCCCAGACCTGTGGCCCGGAGCTGTGGCCCGGAGCTGTGGCCCGGAGCTGTGGCCCGGAGCTGAGGCCCAGAGGTGAGGCCCAGAGCTGAGGCCCACAGGTGAGGCCCAGAGCTGAGGCCCAGAGCTGAGGCCCAGACCTGTGGCCCGGAGCTGTGGCCCAGACCTGTGGCCCCGAGCTGTGGCCCGGAGCTGAGGCCCGGAGCTGAGGCCCAGAGCTGAGGCCCGGAGCTGAGGCCCAGAGCTGAGGCCCAGAGTTGAGGCCCAGAGCTGAGGCCCAGAGCTGAGGCCCAGAGCTGAGGCCCACAGGTGAGGCCCAGAGCAGTGGTCCAGACCTTTGGGCCAGAGCAGTGGCCCATGTTATGGAGCGAAACTGGGCCAAGAGACACTAAGACAAGAGTGTTGGCAAATATAAAGGAACGCAGAAGAGAGAGGGAAAAGAATCTCCTGGTCTTCCATCTGTCCGGATGCTCTGTAACTATGACGACGGCTGGAATGAGAATGTTCTGCCTTTTTAAACACAGATATTCTCTCCAGGCCACTCTTACACTGTGTGTTTTTGAATCAGGGGTTTTCACATCTGTCCTCAAAGGGCCTGTGCGGCTGCAGGTTTTCATTTCAGCCACACAGGAGCGAGATGAACAAGATCAACCAAAGACAAAGCAACACAGGAACACCTCAAATCAGCAACAGCTGACCAGAAGAACATCACACACGGACCATCAACAGAGACGAGGGGGCCTTCAGCTTGGCTCACACTCGGGACTCACTTCTCCAGAGACTAGAGGGGGCGTGGTCAGTAGGAGGGGCGTGGTCAGTCTGAGGGGGCGTGGTCAGACAGAAATCCTGTCAGACTCTTGGCTCTTGATGTCCCTCACACGAGCATCCTCTCCAGAGTGGTGTTCCTCTCCCTCAGAGAGAGGGGGGAGGAGCTTAGTCACACAGGAGGAGCTCGTGGTAGAGCCGCTGGTCCCCCACATTGAGAGGAACCAGTTGAAGTGGCTCGGGTCTTTAACTCTGCTCACGTCTCTGTGCTATGTTTCATAAGAAAGACACATGAACTTCTAACTCTAACATAACGTCTGGTTGTGTGTTCTCAGGTCCACAGTCGGCTGCAGCTCTATGAGGAGCTCCGTCCTCTGCCTACGGTGAAGAGTGCGTCTGCTGTGGCCGCTCAGGTCAGTCCCAAACAACAAATTAGCAAAGTTACACAAAACACAGACATTGGTTCACAAGGTGTGTTAAAACTAGCATTAGCTTAGCATGTGCATCAGTTGCATCTTTCCTTCTGTACCTATGTTCTACATTGTCCCTGTCAAAGAAATGACTGGTGCCTTGTGTGATGTGGACTGTGAAGTGTTTGCCTGTGTCGTAAGGTGCTCTACAAATAAAGATTGATTGATGTAGTGACAGGTTACTATGGCGACAGAAACACACAGTTCTAATGCCCCGTCTCTCTGTGTGAGTCCAAACTGAGTCTAAAGTCCTTCTGTGTTTAAAGCCTCCTCATGACGCACTGATCTGCTGCTGGTTCTTCAGTCTCTGGTTTCTGTAACGCAGCTTTAATTTATTGACCTGCGTTAAATAAGAGTTTTGTTGCCGCTTCGCCCCCGAGGTTCTGTCTGGAGCACGCAGCAGGAGACCGCCACCACACGGCGGGAACACGATCCCAGGCCGGGCACTCACCGAGGCCAGAGGAGGTCCAACGGGCTGTCACAGAGGCACTAAAACAGCCACGGTTAAACTGAACTGCTCTGCTCTACTCTACTCTACTCTACTCTACTCTACTCTACTCTACTCTACTCTACATTACTCTATTCTACTCTACTCTACTCTACTCTACATTACTCTATTCTACTCTACTCTACTCTACTCTACTCTACTCTACTCTACATTACTCTACTCTACTCTACTCTACATTACTCTATTCTACTCTACTCTACTCTACTCTACTCTACTCTACTCTACTCTACTCTACATTACTCTATTCTACTCTACTCTACATTACTCTACTCTACTCTACTCTACTCTACTCTGCATTACTCTGTTCTACTCTACTCTACTCTAAAATAATGACATGTGAAGATACTTTGGGAGTCCAGAAAAGCCCTGTATAAAACGAATGTATTATAGTATTATTATTGACATCTGGGTCTCCTGTGACTACGGCGACTACTGCCCCTGACAGTGGGCCCGGTGCAGGACGGGTCAAATGCAGAGGACACAGTTCCCTATGGAGACAATACTGTACAAACAACAGTTACTCGAGTAACTACAGTTATATGAATATGTACGTTTGGCTACAGGCCTCACAAATGGAAGTCAGCGTCTCATGATCATTTGTAACGGTCGAACAGAATGTGTAATATTTCTTCTTTAAACGTCTGCTTGTTTACTTCTGCCCCATGTTGAACACATTAACTCTGGTCTCTGCGTCCGTCTCCTCCGACAGAGCAGCAGCTGTGATCTGATTCCTTAATAAAAACCTTCTATATTTTAAACATGATATATTTGGGGTCCATAGATCATTGTGCTTCTGCGTGGGGTCAGGCGGCGTGCGGCGACATCGCCCTCCTTTAAACAGTGACTTTTAACAAATGTGAACAGAGCAGCGGAAAGTCTGGTCCAGCCTCGGTCTGTCCCAGTCTGAGTTATGGGATGAGCCGCAGTAATGGGACAATACTGGGCTGGAAAGATACTTGTGTCCTGAGGGGAGGGGGTGTGATGAGGGGAGGGGGTGTGATGAGGGGAGGGGGGGGGGGGGGTGTGATGAGGGGAGGGGGTGTGATGAGGGGAGGGGGGGGGGTGATGAGGGGGGGGGGGGGGGGTGTGATGAGGGGGGGGGGGTGTGATGGACGAGGCCGGTCACTGGAGGAGATGTTCCCCCACTAAAGACTTTGACCTGCATTCATCCATCCTCCACCTTCTGCAGAGTCTCCCACCTCCAGGTCTCACTGCTAAAGTCTGCTTTCTGTCTCTGTGTTGTTGTGATTTACACAAAGGACTGGACCTGGGTTTAATGTGGTACACCCAAATATGTGTAACCACAATTGTAATGGCATTATTACAGTAATGGTTTGTTTGAATTGATATTTGTGTAATTATTTGTTTTTAATAATTACAAGAGATAATATAAGAGATAATTAGCTTATATTCAGTAAAAATAGTCTTGTTTAAATTTAGCGAGTATAGAGAAAATATTGTAGGAACTGTTGTGATTCTCCGATGTAGCGGGGAGCGATTTGACCGTGACCCTCGGACAGATGCTGAGTCAGGTTTACTCTGAGACTTTTGTTAACTTTGCACAGGTTAGTATTTGGCCACAAACGCCACAATTGAGCGCTCCACACTTGAGAGTACCCTGGTAGTAAATCACAGAAGGTTTAGATTAATTGTGTGACTTTTCGGATTAATTTTGTATGTATTTAATGTGTGTAACGGCCGAACAAGCTAACGATGCTAATGCTAGCTGGCCTGTTGGCTTTTCGCGGCACTCTTCAGCATTAGCATTAGCATTAGCATTAGCATTAGCATTAGCATTAGCATGTTAGAACAAATCCCAGTAAAGTGGTCAGATGTAGCTCCATTTTACTCCGAAAAGCCTCCTGTGAATTAATAAGTTTAGGACCAGTCTGTTTTAGTGGTTTTTATGTGATGTTGTGAACAGATGACACAGTTTAACTCGTGAGTCAGTTATGCCAATGTCAGTTTGTTAAAGTGTCAAATATATAAAGTAATGTAGTAGTATTAATTTGAGAATATAGAAATAATTTTAAATGTAATAATGTTAATATGCTATTTGTCAGAGAGAGAAACAATCTGGATCTGCTCTGGGTTTAAGACACAGAGAAGGCCCTGTGCTCTGGGTTTAAGACACAGAGAAGGCTCTGTGCTCTGGGTTTAAGACACAGAGAAGGCCCTGTGCTCTGGGTTTAAGACACAGAGAAGGCTCTGTGCTCTGGGTTTAAGACACAGAGAAGGCCCTGTGCTCTGGGTTTAAGACACAGAGAAGGCCCTGTGCTCTGGGTTTAAGACACAGAGAAGGCTCTGTGCTCTGGGTTTAAGACACAGAGAAGGCCCTGTGCTCTGGGTTTAAGACACAGAGAAGGCCCTGTGCTCTGGGTTTAAGACACAGAGAAGGCCCTGTGCTCTGGGTTTAAGACACAGAGAAGGCCCTGTGCTCTGGGTTTAAGACACAGAGAAGGCCCTGTGCTCTGGGTTTAAGACACAGAGAAGGCCCTGTGCTCTGGGTTTAAGACACAGAGAAGGCCCTGTGCTCTGGGTTTAAGACACAGAGAAGGCCCTGTGCTCTGGGTTTAAGACACAGAGAAGGCCCTGTGCTCTGGGTTTAAGACCACAGAGAAGGCCCTGTGCTCTGGGTTTAAGACACAGAGAAGGCCCTGTGCTCTGGGTTTAAGACACAGAGAAGGCCCTGTGCTCTGGGTTTAAGACACAGAGAAGGCCCTGTGCTCTGGGTTTAAGACCACAGAGAAGGCTCTGTGCTCTGGGTTTAAGACCACAGAGAAGGCTCTGTGCTCTGGGTTTAAGACCACAGAGAAGGCTCTGTGCTCTGGGTTTAAGACCACAGAGAAGGCCCTGTGCTCTGGGTTTAAGACCACAGAGAAGGCCCTGTGCTCTGGGTTTAAGACACAGAGAAGGCCCTGTGCTCTGGGTTTAAGACACAGAGAAGGCCCTGTGCTCTGGGTTTAAGACACAGAGAAGGCCCTGTGCTCTGGGTTTAAGACCACAGAGAAGGCCCTGTGCTCTGGGTTTAAGACCACAGAGAAGGCTCTGTGCTCTGGGTTTAAGACCACAGAGAAGGCCCTGTGCTCTGGGTTTAAGACCACAGAGAAGGCTCTGTGCTCTGGGTTTAAGACCACAGAGAAGGCCCTGTGCTCTGGGTTTAGGAACACAGAGAAGGCCCTGTATATTGCACCCTAGTGAGTCTGCTCTCTGTATTGCACTAGTGAGTCTGCTCTCTGTATTGCACCCTCGTGAGTCTGCTCTGTATTGCACCCTAGTGAGTCTGCTCTGTATTGCACCCTAGTGAGTCTGCTCTGTATTGCACCCTAGTGAGTCTGCTCTCTGTATTTCACCCTCGTGAGTCTGCTCTGTATTGCACCCTAGTGAGTCTGCTCTGTATTGCACCCTAGTGAGTCTGCTCTGTATTGCACCCTCGTGAGTCTGCTCTCTGTATTGCACTAGTGAGTCTGCTCTCTGTATTGCACCCTCGTGAGTCTGCTCTGTATTGCACCCTAGTGAGTCTGCTCTGTATTGCACCCTAGTGAGTCTGCTCTGTATTGCACCCTCGTGAGTCTGCTCTGTATTGCACCCTAGTGAGTCTGCTCTGTATTGCACCCTAGTGAGTCTGCTCTCTGTATTGCACCCTCGTGAGTCTGCTCTGTATTGCACCCTAGTGAGTCTGCTCTGTATTGCACCCTCGTGAGTCCACTCTCTCTTTCCGTTGCACATCTGCAGTTGCTAACGCTAATTTGAAGCTGTGTTCTCTCACTTATCTCTCCTTCTGGAAGCAATCAACAAACGTGGGGCTATTCTTTCCATTCTAATGGCTGTAATAAAAGCCACTTGTGCTGCAGTGACTGGCATGGGCTCTGACCGCGGCGTCTGTCCCCAGGGGGTCAGAAAGTGAAGTTTTGGGGTCTGTGGTGACATGGTGTCCTCCCTGTGGCCTCCAGCTTCTGGCCCTGACCTCGGCTTTACCTTCGGAGCAGTTAGTCAAACAGTCGCGGCGCTTTTTCCAGCCTCTGTCATCTGCAGCCTCACGCTTCAGGAGGTGGAGGGAGGAGGGGGAGGCAGGGGGGGAGGAGGGGGAGGAGGTGGATGTGTTGAAAACATGGGCCTGCTGGGACTCAGGCCTGACCGGGTCCCAGTCCACATGTAACAGAGACCAGAAAGAATATGGAACTCTCTTGTCTTTGTTCACTAAAGATTGTGTGGTGATAGGCCAGTCCCTGTGCTCCTCAGAGAGTCCCATCAGGAGGCCAGTCCCTGTGCTCCTCAGAGAGTCCCATCAGGAGGCCAGTCCCTGTGCTCCTCAGAGAGTCCCATCAGGAGGCCAGTCCCTGTGCTCCTCAGAGAGTCCCATCAGGAGGCCAGTCCCTGTGCTCCTCAGAGAGTCCCATCAGGAGGCCAGTCCCTGTGCTCCTCAGAGAGTCCCATCAGGAGGCCAGTCCCTGTGCTCCTCAGAGAGTCCCATCAGGAGGCCAGTCCCTGTGCTCCTCAGAGAGTCCCAGCAGAAGGCCAGTCCCTGTGCTCCTCAGAGTCCCATCAGGAGGCCAGTCCCTGTGCTCCTCAGAGAGTCCCATCAGGAGGCCAGTCCCTGTGCTCCTCAGAGAGTCCCATCAGGAGGCCAGTCCCTGTGCTCCTCAGAGAGTCCCAGCAGGAGGCCAGTCCCTGTGCTCCTCAGAGAGTCCCATCAGGAGGCCAGTCCCTGTGCTCCTCAGAGAGTCCCAGCAGGAGTCCAGTCCCTGTGCTCCTCAGAGTCCCATCAGGAGGCCAGTCCCTGTGCTCCTCAGAGAGTCCCAGCAGGAGGCCCGTCCCTGTGCTCCTAATTTTTTTTAAATGTGCTATATATAAATAAATTTGACCTTGACCTCAGAGTCCCAGCAGGAGACCAGTCCCTGTGCTCCTCAGAGTCCCAGCAGGAGACCAGTCCCTGTGCTCCTCAGAGAGTCCCAGCAGGAGGCCAGTCCCTGTGCTCCTAATTTTTTTTAAATGTGCTATATATAAATAAATTTGACCTTGACCTCAGAGTCCCAGCAGGAGACCAGTCCCTGTGCTCCTCAGAGTCCCAGCAGGAGACCAGTCCCTGTGCTCCTCAGAGTCCCAGCAGGAGGCCAGTCCCTGTGCTCCTCAGAGTCCCAGCAGTAGAGAGGAGAGGTATTAGTTCCTCTCTCATCTCTCCTTTCTCACTGGTCTCTCTCATTGGTGTCTCTCTCACTGGTCTCTCTCTCATTGGTGTCTCTCTCTCTCTCATTGGACTCTCTCACTTTCTCACTGGTCTCTCTCTGTCTCTCACTTTCTCACTGGTCTCTCTCTGTCTCTCACTGGTCTCTCTCTGTCTCTCACTGGTCTCTCTCTCTGTCTCTCACTTTCTCACTGGTCTCTCTCTCTCTCTCTCACTGGTCTCTCTCTCTGTCTCTCACTTTCTCACTGGTCTCTCTCTCTGTCTCTTAATTTCTCACTGGTCTCTTTCTCACTCTCTCACTCTCTCACTGGTTTCTCTCACTCTCTCACTGGTCTCTCTCTCACTCTCTCACTGGTCTCTCTCTCACTCTCTCACTGGTTTCTCTCACTCTCTCACTGGTCTCTCTCACTCTCTCACTGGTCTCTCTCTCACTCTCTCACTGGTCTCTCTCTCACTCTCTCACTGGTCTCTCTCTCACTCTCTCACTGGTGTCTCTCTGTCTCTCACTCTCTCACTGGTCTCTCTCTCACTCTCTCACTGGTTTCTCTCACTCTCTCACTGGTCTCTCTCTCACTCTCTCACTGGTGTCTCTCTGTCTCTCACTCTCTCACTGGTCTCTCTCTCACTCTCTCACTGGTTTCTCTCACTCTCTCACTGGTCTCTCTCTCACTCTCTCACTGGTCTCTCTCTCACTCTCTCACTGGTGTCTCTCTGTCTCTCACTCTCTCACTGGTCTCTCTCTAAATCTTTGTATTAGTTTTTCCTCTGCACAGATTTTAAGGACAGTAAATTAAGTAAAGTCAGTGTGTTACTAGCATTGGTCTCCTAGATCCTGACCTCTGACCTCTCCATTTTCTAAACCCATTATCTCTAAAGAAGAAATATGGGTCTCTTTCTATAACCTCAAAATCAAACAAAGTGAAGTCATCCGTCTGAAAGAATGCTCGGTGACATCACTCGGTGCATTCTTGCTGCTGTTTCCACAGAACCAGAGGATGTCACTGCTGTGCTGTCCTGACTCCTGACCTCCTGCTGTAGGACCTCCTCCTCCCTCCTGACTCCTGACCTCCTGCTGTAGGACCTCCTCATCCCTCCTGACTCCTGACCTCCTGCTGTAGGACCTCCTCCTCCCTCCTGACCCCTGACCTCCTGCTGTAGGACCTCCTCCTCCCTCCTGACTCCTGACCTCCTGCTGTAGGACCTCCTCCCTCCTGACTCCTGACCTCCTGCTGTAGAACCTCCTCCTGACTCCTGACCTCCTGCTGTAGGACCTCCTCCCTCCTGACTCCTGACCTCCTGGTGCAGAGCCTCCTCCCTCCTGACTCCTGACCTCCTGGTGCAGAGCCTCCTCCCTCCTGACTCCTGACCTCCTGCTGTAGGACCTCCTCCCTCCTGACTCCTGACCTCCTGGTGTAGGACCTCCACCCTCCTGACTCCTGACCTCCTGCTGTAGGACCTCCTCCCTCCTGACTCCTGACCTCCTGGTGTAGGACCTCCACCCTCCTGACTCCTGACCTCCTGCTGTAGGACCTCCTCCCTCCTGACTCCTGACCTCCTGGTGCAGAGCCTCCTCCCTCCTGACTCCTGACCTCCTGGTGCAGAGCCTCCTCCCTCCTGACTCCTGACCTCCTGCTGTAGGACCTCCTCCCTCCTGACTCCTGACCTCCTGGTGCAGAGCCTCCTCCCTCCTGACTCCTGACCTCCTGGTGCAGAGCCTCCTCCCTCCTGACTCCTGACCTCCTGCTGTAGGACCTCCTCCCTCCTGACTCCTGACCTCCTGCTGTAGGACCTCCTCCCTCCTGACTCCTGACCTCCTGCTGTAGGACCTCCTCCCTCCTGACTCGTGACCTCCTGCTGTAGCCAATCCCAGGATCAGTGTGATTTCTGCTGCTGTCTGTGTTTGGCAGGACCGGGGTCTGAGCCGATGGGGACAGAGGAGGATCCCAGCTGTGCTCTAGACCCATAAATACAGCACAGATATGAAGATGCATCCAATAATCTGTGTTGAAAGGACACAAATCACTGAGAACACGACTCGCTCTCCGTCTCACTCCGTTTGCTCTCAGGTTTATGGCTTTGAAGTCCTGTCTGTCCGGACTCTATCACCGCGGCGTCGACAGCTTCGTCTCTAACTTGCCAGAGATTTATATTCTACTTTAGAGGAGAGTCTACAGAGCTCTGCTGGGGGCCTCACCGAGCACGGACTGTCTCTGTCTTTGGTCCAGAAACAAAGAGGGTTATCTGTCACCTCCGTCTCTCTCCAGAAAACCTTCAACTCTGTCAGAAACCCAGGAACTCACTGTCAGTGGCAGTGAAAAACGCCAGCATCAGAACTACAGTAAACAGACTTTGAGATTCTTAGACTTTAACAGGTGCTCACTGGTCTCACCAGGAGAACCAGGAAGTCCTCTCTCATTAGTCCTGGTCTCGGGTCTCTCCATGGACTCGTATCAAAGTACAACTGTGACATGTTAGTGCCATATGAACCAACTCTGAGGAGCACAGGGACTGGCCTCCTCCTGCTGGGACTCTGAGGAGCACAGGGACTGGCCTCCTCCTGCTGGGACTCTGAGGAGCACAGGGACTGGCCTCCTCCTGCTGGGACTCTGAGGAGCACAGGGACTGGCCTCCTCCTGCTGGGACTCTGAGGAGCACAGGGACTGGCTTCCTGCTGGTCCCAGAGTCAGTGTGGGACAGACTTCTTCTCTGACAATGTTCAAATCCAGATTAAAAACAGTTCTGTTTCTAAACAACTGAAGGATTTTATCTTTAGTCTTTTTAATGTTCTGTGATTATTGATGTTTCTTGTTTTGTTCAGCAGTTGAGCCTTGTGTATGATCTGTGCTATACAAATAAACTTGCCATTACATGGTGGTAAGCTGCGACAATCAGCCTCTAATGTCCCCTGGTAATCCTCCTAAAGCTGTGACCTCTGACCTGTGTGTGACATCACGCTCTCCCTGTTGCAGCTGAGTGAGGAGCTCCAGGGGAAGACGTCCACCGCAGGGAAGGAGCTGCTGCTGCTGCTGTCCAGACCCCATGTGAAGGTGAGTCCCCCTCTGCTCTCCCCCTCTCCCCCTCTGCTCTCCCCCTCTGCTCCCCCCTAGTCTCCCCCTCTGGTCTCATCACCAGAGCCTCGTTATCCAGACGCAGACAGAGGCCGGACAGATGCTCACAGGAGGATTCAGGAGGTCTGGCCCTGACTCTGCAGGTGTGAGGAGGGGTGAGGCGGGGTGAGGCGGGGGAGGCGGGGGAGGTATACATCTGGCCTGTTGGAGCGCGGACGACAGCGCTTTGAGATTTTCTAATTTTGACTTATTCTGCAGAAATGACAGCTCTGATGTAGTTTATAGTCTGCTTTAATGAAGCCAGAGTTTCTCAGGACAAGTGGAAATATATAAAAACATATAGAAGTGGATGGTG